AAAAACTTTTTTGGAGAAGCAATAAGACTGCGGAATGTGGCATTTTTGATATTCGTATGACTGGGATAATACTAAGCCAGCATTCAGATCGTGATAGAGGCGTACGACTTCACGTTGGATGCGTTTGGCAAACAAGGCGGAGCGGCAATCATAGATGACATCACCTACAACTCGAGCGCAATTTATGAGTGTCGAATGAGTAAGGAGATTAAGATAATGAGAAAATGATATAAAATTCTAGGAAAGAACTCTATGAATAGCACCAACACTGCGCTATAAATCGTTTGCAGAAATTTGGCTCTTCGTTTTTGAAAACCCAATAATAAGCTTCATCTCACGGTTGAATGATTCAATGTAATAACTATACACTATTGATAATTTTTCGCACAAACAGCAAACAATAATGACTGGACATCTTCGCAGCTGGAGAGTAATATGCAAACCTTCAGTTCCTCACTATGAGCCACCTCCTAAGCTTCCCAAGAAGACGTGTACAGCAATCCGATGCGATTTTGAGAGCGGTGCATGTCTCCGCGACTTGGAATCTACAGGCTGGAAAACCACAGATGAACCAGTAGGGCCGCGATCCAGTGGTATTCGGTCTCAGCTGGGTGAGACCACTTTAAGATACGAACATTCTTTATAAGAATTTGCCGCTGGCAGTATGTTAATTAACTTCACTTAGTTGTGAACTCGAGATTGAAGTGAGAAAAACCAAATTAAGTTTTTAGCTTTTTGATAGCGGGGAGCAATTCATCAAAGTGATGAGTATGGCTGCCACAATAACTTTTTGTGAATGGAGTGTCAGATGACAAGAATCATGCACCTTTTGGATTACGTGGGCAGATCAAGACCTATTGTTCCATCTTTACTTTCACATTTACATAAAGATAAATGAATGAAAGTTCATTATTGAAAATGACGAACGGCTAACGTTGCCTAGTCACACAAACAACACTCTATAAAAATGATAAAAGCAAGAAAAGTAGCAAAAGGGACTCAAAAACGTTTGGTATTTTTACGTCATATTCTATTTCAAGGGAGACATGATGACACGTACCAGCATATTTTTACACTCGATATCAAATCACTGTATTCAATCTCTTTTCAACGCCCCACCCAATTCTCCAAGAGTGTCAACAGACAATTTTGCCGACCCGTTCATTGCCAAGATGTCAATTCCAGGCGCCGTCAATGTTTCCTTACGTAATATATCTCCTCCGAGATTGCTTTACATGGACACTACCAGACAGCCAAGACATTACGGAGCATTTTTCCCATAGAACTTCTCAAAATATTGAGAAAAGGGACTT